GGCGAGAGGCGAGAGGCGAGAGGCGAGAGGACCAGCGTGAGTAGACTTTTGACAGCAGCGTCCCACCAAAAAATTCAGCACACCGTGTTGGTCTCACAAATTCGTTGGTTCTGCGACTGTTTCGGCCTAACATCTTGCGATCGCTTTTTGACTCGCACGGGAGTCGCCACTTCTGACTCGAGTTGCCTCGACTGCGCACCAGCCGAGGCGGAATGCGCTCGCTCGCTTTTTTTCGACATTCTTCGCATTCCTCGAGAGCAGCAGCAGCAGCAGCGCAGCAGAAGCAGCAGAAGCAGCAGCAGCTGAGCTTCGGTGGGGCTCTCCTTGCTGTGTTGCTTTTGGGAAGTAAATGCTGTCTCGGCGTTAAAGCTTCTCCTTGCTTTTCCCCCACCATCATCGCTCAGTGGATACACAGCATCTGCGTTTCGCAAGGGGCCCCCAACCATGGCCGACCTCACCCCCAAGGATCCAAGCGATCCGGCAGCCACGTTCGGCGAGCACGACCCCACCGCCGCCTTCAGCTTCCCCACCGAGGAGGAAAAGGTCATCCGATACTGGCGTGCCATCGACGCCTTCAAGACCTCGCTCCAGCAGTCTAAGGGCAGGAAACCCTTCAGCTTCTACGACGGTCCGCCCTTCGCCACCGGTCTGCCCCACTACGGCCATCTCCTCGCCGGCACCGTCAAGGACATTGTCACCCGACACGCCCACTCCACCGGCCACTATGTCGACCGCCGCTTCGGCTGGGACTGCCACGGCCTCCCCGTAGAGCACGAGATCGACAAGCGCCTCAACATCCGCGGCAAGGAGGACGTCATGGCCATGGGCGTCGACAAGTACAACGCAGAGTGCAGGAGCATCGTCATGACCTACCAGAACGAGTGGCGCGACACCGTAGAACGCATGGGCCGTTGGATCGACTTTGACAACGGCTACAAGACCATGGACATCAACTTCATGGAGTCCGTATGGTGGGTCTTCAAGACGCTCCACTCCAAGGGCCTCGTCTACCAAGGCATCCGCGTCATGCCCTACTCCACCGCCTGCACCACCCCGCTCTCCAACTTCGAGGCCGGCCTCGACTACCGCGAGGTCCAGGACCCCGCCGTCACCGTCAGCTTCCCGCTCCTCGACGACCCCACCACCGCCTTCCTCGCATGGACAACGACGCCCTGGACGCTCCCCTCCAACCTCGGCCTTTGCGTCCACCCCGACTTCAACTACATCAAGATCCACGACGACGAGCGCGACACCAACTTCATCATCCACGAGGACCTCCTCACCACCCTCTACAAGGACCCCAAGAAGGCCAAGTTCCAAAAGCTCCACACCTACAAGGGTAAGGACCTCGTCGGCATGCAGTACCAGCCCATCTTCCCCTACTTCGCCGACCGCTTCCAGGGCCGCGCCTTCCGCGTCCTCTCCGACACCTACGTCACCTCGGACGCAGGTACCGGCATCGTGCACCAGGCACCCGCCTTTGGTGACGACGATCACCGCGTCGCCATCGCCCACGGCGTCATCAGCCGCGACGAGTCGCCCCCCAACCCCGTCGACGGCTCCGGCCGCTACACCGCCGAGGTGCCCGACTACCAGGGCGTCCACGTCAAGGAGGCCGACAAGCAGATCCAGAAGGACCTCAAGGCGCGCGGCCGCCTCATTGTACAGGCCACCCTCACCCATCAGTACCCCTTCTGCTGGCGTTCGGGCACGCCCCTCATCTACAAGGCCATCCCCTCGTGGTTCGTGCGCGTCGAGCCCGCCATCGAGAAGCTCGTCAAGAACAACAACGCAACGCGCTGGGTGCCCGGCCACGTCGGCGAGGGCCGCTTCGGCAACTGGATCGCCAACGCGCGCGACTGGAACGTCAGCCGCAACCGATACTGGGGCACCCCCATCCCGCTCTGGGCGAGCGAAGACATGGAGGAGATCGTCTGCGTCGGCTCCGTCGAGGAGCTCGAGCGCCTCTCGGGCGTCTCGGGCATCAACGACCTGCACAAGGACAAGATCGACCACATCACCATCCCCTCCCAAAAGGGCAAGGGCCAGCTCAAGCGCGTCGAGGAGGTCTTCGACTGCTGGTTCGAGTCCGGATCCATGCCCTACGCACAGGCGCACTACCCCTTCGAGAACAAGGAGCAGTTCGAAAAGTCCTTCCCCGCCGACTTTATCTCCGAGGGCCTCGACCAGACGCGCGGCTGGTTCTACACGCTGCTCATCCTCGCCACGCACCTCTTTGACTCGGCGCCCTGGAAGAACCTCATCGTCAGCGGACTCGTGCTCGCCGCCGACGGCAAGAAGATGAGCAAGTCGCTGCGCAACTACCCGGACCCCAACCTGCTCATCAATCAGTACGGCGCCGACGCCATCCGTCTGTACCTGATCAACTCGCCCGTCGTGCGTGCCGAGAACCTGCGCTTCAAGGAGGAGGGCGTCAAGGAGGTGGTCTCGTCCACCTTCCTCCCGTGGCTCAACTCGTTCCGCTTCTTCCTCGCCTCGGTGAGCCTGTACGAGAAGGATCACGGCGTCAAGTTTGTCTACGACCGCCACCAGTCGAGCACCAACGTCATGGACCGCTGGATCCTCGCGCGCTGCCAGTCGCTCATCCGCCTCATCAGCGACGAGATGGCGGCGTACCGTTTGTACACGGTGGTGCCGCGTCTGGGCGAGCTGATCGACGAGCTGACCAACTGGTACATCCGCTTCAACCGCCGTCGCCTCAAGGGCGAGTACGGCGTGGACGACACCAAGGCGGCGCTCAACTCGCTCTTTGAGACGCTCCTCACGCTGTGTCGCACGCTCTCGTCGTTCACGCCCTTCCTCACCGAGAACCTGTACCAGGGCCTGCGCAAGTACATGCCCGCGCCCACGGCGGACGACAAGGAGGACTACCGCAGCGTGCACTTCCTCTCGTTCCCCGAGGTGAACGAGTCGTACTTTGACCCGGTGATCCAGCGACAGTTCAAGGCGCTCCAGGCGGTGGTGGAGCTGGGCCGCGTGATCCGCGTGAACTCGAACCTGCCCATCCGCGTGCCGCTCAAGGAGCTCGTCGTCTTCCACACGGACGCAGAGTACCTTGCGGATGCCGAGTCGCTGGCGGACTACATCAAGGAGGAGCTCAACGTGCGCGATCTGGTGCTGTCCTCGGATGAGGCCAAGTGCGGCGTGCGCTTCAAGCTGTTTGCCGACTGGCCTGTGCTGGGTCGCAAGCTGCGCAAGGACGTCGGCAAGGTTCGCAAGGGCCTCGAGAGTGTCACTTCGGACGAGGCCAAGAGGTACATGCAGACGGGCAAGCTCAACGTGGCTGGCGTGGATCTGGTCGAGGGCGATTTGAAGGTGTCGCGCTACGTCGAGACCAAGGAGATCGAGGGAGCGTTCGAGTCCAACACGGACGGCAATGTCGTGGTGCTGCTGGACGTGCAGCCGCGAGCCGAGTTGCAGGCCGAGGGTACGGCGAGGGAGGTGGTGAACCGCATCCAGCGTCTGCGCAAGAAGGCCGGCCTGGTTGCGACGGATGAGGTGGACGCCTTCTACTCGTTCGAACAGGGCCTCGGCCAGGCGCTGGCAGAGTGCATCGAGAGCCAGAGCGACGCCTTTATGAAGGCGCTGCGCAGAAAGCCGCTGCCCGAGTCGCACAAGAAGCCGGATGCAAAGGTGATTCTGCAGGAGGAACAGGAGGTGGGCGACGACAAGTTTGTACTCACTCTCGCCTGGGCTTGAGCCTGTCCCAAGGCATGCCAGCCAATACAAAGAGTTCCCACAGTGTCGAAGGTTAAGAAATTGCAACGAGGGGTATACGAGATGGCGCTGGTGAGAGGGGGATGGATTTGTCAACGTTTCTTGGTAGAGCCGAAGCCGCCAAAGCCCATTGCGGACATCATGTTGTCGTCATCGTCATTCGCTGGCTGGTCGACGGCTGTGGATGGACTGGACTTCTTGGCGTTTTTTGCATCTCTGCGTTTCTGCCTCCTCTGCTGCCTCTCCATCTCTTGTTGGTCTGCGATGCTCTTTATCCTCTGATCGAAATCGTACGCTGCACTCTTGTTGTTTCCTCGAGCGCCTCTTTCTTGTCTCAACCTGTCGAGCATGGCGAGTACGTCTTGCAGACTTGCTCTGTCCTGTTGTGTCGACTGGCCTATGCGCATCAGATGCACGCGTCCGTTGATGTGGTCCAGATAGGCGAGGTTGTCCTTGAGCAGCTTTCGGCACGTTTGGCAGTAGAAGCCGGGACCGGTTTGACCCGAATCGGACGAAAGGTCCACCATCAGTGTCTTGCCCTGGTTCTTGTCGAGCCCGAGCGGCGCAGAACGCTGCTGCATCGAGAGTTCGGGCTCGGGTGCGGTGGATTTGAGCCGCTTGAGTGGGGGCAAGCCTTGCGAACGTCGCTCGGCATTGACCGAGTCGAGTTCAGCCTGCCGCTTCTCGCGAGACATGGCCTTGCGTGCAAAGTCGTCCTTGTCCCACGTTCGCCGTGACGGTCCGACGCCCCCCGAAGGGCCGGAAGAGCTTGGAGCAGACATGTTGGAAGAGAGGCGTGGGATGCTGGGGGTAAGAAGGTGAAGCAAGGATGCGGCTGCTGCGGCTGCTGCTGCTGCTCCACTTTTCGAGC